GGGGCCACACCATAGTCCCTTTGGCCCACCATCCCGGAGAAACACACCGTTCAGAAGTCAAAGTGGCTCATGAGAGCAGGAGGCATTTCTGGTGACTTTCTCTGTTAGACAAGGGACAGGCCTTCTCCCAGTTTAACCCCTTGTGACCTTTGAACTTCCCAGGAGGTCAGCAGCATGTAGTCCCCCTTCCCCAGCTGTCTTTCTGTCTCTGGCCCGATGGGAGGGAGGGCCCTGGGCCCATTCCATTTTGCGCCCGTATTGATCTGTTGGCAGCAATGGGCTGGATAATTAGCCAGGAATTAGGGTTTCTATTACAGCCAGGAGGCTGCTCCAGCTGATTTATCACCTGAATAATTTACTGTGATTGAAAGGAAATTAAAATGAACTCCATTTGACAACTGTGAGCTTTTATGGGCTTTAGTGAAGGCTCAAAAGCCAGATTAATAGCCTTGTGTTGGTTAATAGTCTGCCGAGAGTAAATACGGCAGGCTGTGCTCAGAGGCCTTCCTACAGTGACCGGAGGAGGGACCTGTTCTGCCACAGTGCCAGCGGCCCCATGACAGTGTCAACATGAGTTTTACTGAAACAGATTCCACTGCTGGCCTCATGCGCGCAGGCACACATGGAGCTCGCATGCATGCGCACACGTGCTCTCTCACCACCAGCGGTTATTTCTTCTTCATCTTTTTTTCCCCTCTTCTGTTCCTCCAAGGTGATTTTTACTCACTCCACATGTAGGAAAAACAGAATTGCTTTTTCAATAACCATTTTGAAAAGGAAGTGTTCCATTGCCCTAACAGTGGAGTTCCATTAACCCCTTCCACCAGGGCGAAGTGTTTACTAAGTTTCCCTATGAAAGCTCAAAACTGATCCACCTGCCCAGGGTAGAACTTGGCAGGAAAAGCAGCAAGAGGAGATGGGGCCCCTGAACTGACTGGTGCGGCTGCGGGACTTCGACCCTCAGCAGTCCCAGGATGGTGAGGGCTTTGGCAGGCTGTGACCTCTCAGCACTGATGAAAGACTCTGAGGGTCCTGGACAGAAAAGCAGACGCTGGCTACAAAAGAAAGTCAGAGAGCTGCTCCTTAAGCACTCTGTGGCCACAGAGACCTGTCGCGTCATCTTGTACAACATGGGACAGAAAGAGCCTGAGGTCCGATTCCAGCACTGTGGCCTTGACAGTCCAGGAAACTTCCTGGAACTTATTTTCAGTGTCTTGCTATGCAGCTTGGACTCACAGTGATCCTCCTGTCTCAGCCTTATACTGCATACTGGGGCTTGAACCCAGGTCCTTGCACTTGCCACGAAGGTACGTAGACCACTGAGCTATCTCCCTCGCCCCCTTCCTGGACCTTAACACAGGGTGAAGAGTCAGGAGATAAAAGTTCCAGGTGATGGGGCTCACCAAACTTGCCCAGCCTGCTTGGCAGGCATTTAAATAGAAGGTACACTTAGGCAAGCACAAGGATGGGGGTTCAATCCCCTACACCACATCTCATGCCGGCCCCGCCCCTGGGTACACTAAGCCAGCTTCAGAGACTGAGTGTTGTGGCACACACCTGTAATCCCAGTGGTGGGGAGGCTGAGACAGGAGGATCACTATAAGTCTGAACTGTGTAGTGAGACCCTGTACCAAATACATACATACATATACACATACACACACATACACATACATACATACATACATACATAGAAAGTATAGTGAGAGACACATATAAAGACCTTTAAAAGCTGACCACTCTCATGCAGAGGGGAAGACCATCTCTGTTACCATTCTTAAGTCACTGCTGCTGTTGTTAGTTGTGAATGCCACCTACCACAGATAAGCAAACTGAGGCCCAACAAAAACTAACTTGCTGAGGGGTCAGGGGCAGGATTCAGATCAAGCTCCCCAACTCCAAGGACAGTAGTTCTTTCCTCCCTACTGGGCTACTATGAAGCCACCCCCTATTAGGGCCACAAGATATAGAGACACAGACAAGACAGCTTGATCTACTCACAAGTGGAAGAGGTGGCCAGCACCCTCAGGCAGCAGCTCAGAGCTCTCTTCTGGTGCCACCGCCATGCTATCTGGGCTCATGAGGCAAGGCTTGTGCAACATTCACCCGGCAGAGAGCAAGCATTCTCCTATACCCTTGACAGCAACCCCCCCCCACCAGCCTGCAGCCCCTTGCTCAAGCCGTCATTGTCCCAAGTGATGGGGACTCGGGCACAAGGGTGCCATTCATAGTCCAGTGGCTGCGTGTGTGCAGGTGGCCCTGTGGCCTCACCTCCCATCTCTCCTCATTACAGCATATTACGGAAGGTGAAGCAGATTAACCAGAAACTACTGAGTCAGTCATTATTCCCCTGCGTGCTCTGCCTGCGGGCCCTGCCTCCGAGCCCTCACAGTCACAGGCCCAGAGACGTTCCCGCAGTTCTGAAGGACACTGCCAGTAGCCAAGTCCTCACAGCTCATCAGCTCTCCATACCGTGGCTCCCAACGCTTCCAACAAGGCACCTTCCCCCTCTCACTCACACTTCTTCGGGACCCACAAGACTATCTCTCTCATCCTGTGTCTTCTAAATTCAGAGAGAACGTGTGGCTTTCATGCCTCTGTCCCCCAGGCACTATTCCAGGCTCACCATCCATGTGGAAAAAATACTTTAGGACCATGAGCATCTGAGGGAGTGAGAGAATTAGTGGTGGTGGTCCTGGATTCTGAGCATATGAGTGGATCAGACTATGAAGCCCTCTAGTCTCTGCCCCATCTCTCGGGGCACCCTAAGCTAATGAAGTAGAATTCAGATTCTGGTTTCCAGGAAGATCACGTGAAAAGCAGTGGAGTCTCTAGCACCAAATGTCTGCGCTGCCTTGTACTCTTGGGCCTAATGGGAGTGATGGTGCTTCATGCTGGAAGGAAGGTCAGGTTGTGTACTTAGCCGGGCCCTTGCCCTCTACCACACACTTGACAGGCAACCTCTGACCACTCTCTTTCCTTCTAGGCTTCTAAAAAATGAGAGTTGAAAGCTTGCCTTGGGCTGGGGATATAGCTCAGGAGCATAAGGGCCTGTTTGGCAAGGTCCTGAGTTGGATCCCGGGTACCAAAAAAAAACCCCTTGCCTCCATTGTCTCACTAGCCCTAACACTATATGATCTTGTCGACAGCTAGAGGAAAGATTTTCTCCTATATTCTATGGCTTCATCCTGAAAGAGTCCCTTCTTCCTTTCCTGCGTCAAAGGAAATGTGGTTATCAACACTGCTTAGAAAGGATTAGAATGGAGAAAAAGGCTCTTTGTGAGGGAAGCTGACTCTACTCCCAAAGCTGAGGCTCCAGGCTGTGGCAGTAGCTATGTCCAGCACGTACGACCACACCATCCCAATGGGAGGCCTTACTGGACTTGTAGGAGAAAGACCAATATCCTCACCACAGTCCATAAGACTGAGCCCATGTCCCCAACATCACCTCTCACTCCACTCTCTGAATCCCAGTCAAGCTGGATCTCTCTGTTTCCTACTTCTGCCTCTTCCTCTCACCGCAGGGCCTTTGCACTTGCTGTTTGCTCTGCCAGGCACATTCCCTTCACCTCTGAATCCCTTTTCTTTGTTCTGTCCAATCATTCAGGGCTCAGCATAAGTGCTTCTAGACTCCATTACAGCTTCCAAGATGGCTCAGCTTCTGCTTTTGACTCTCAGAGAACTTTAGACATCTCAGCACCAAGAGACCACTTATATCCCAAAAATCTGTAGGTATTTCTTATTTGCTGTTTCATTTACAAATTTCTAGGCTTCTTGAGGGCAGATCCAAACCTGACTTGTTCAGTAATGGATTCCTAGTGCCCTATAAAAAGTAGACACTCTTTTAAGTTTGTTAAGTAACTATATGACTTGCTGGTTGGCTCTGGGCAAGTCATTTTGCCTCTCTGGCCCTCAGTTTCTCCATCTGAAAACAAGGTGGCTAACTGGACTGTCAAAGCCCTCATAAAAACTGCTCAGACAGCACCAGGCCATCATAAAATGGTAGCCCACTCCTTACCCAAGATCTCCTCCAGAACCTTGCCTGTCCATGGCCTGAACTGTCTCAGATGGTTCTTTGGACAAACTTCAAAGCACCATCTAGTTATCACTTAGAGAAAGCTCAGAAAGGCTGATGCACACCACCGCTACCAATTAGTAAGGTCTTGGACAAATTTACTGCTCGTAGGGTCTCTCTGATTTGCCCAACAGGTGAGAGTTCTCAGCTAGCCAAAACCACAACTAAGCTGCCCATGGTTGCCAGGTAAGGTTAGCTGTGGACCTGGAGCAGATTGGGACATTGGGAGATACTGTCCTGAATTGAAGCTGGTACTCTGGACGCTTTATTGCACCATGAGAGCCTCTTACTGGAAGTCTTTCTGGTATTATATCTATAGTCACAGGGAGTGACTACCCTCAGCTGGGAGGGAACAACAGGTCAACTGTCCAGCCAGGGTGGTCCTCCTGCTTCCTTGCCCTCCTCCAACCTCTAGATAGGAGCTTGTCCAATGGGACACTTCATCTCCTCTCTTGGGTCCATTTTTAAAAAGCATGACAGTTTAGTCTGACAAGAAGGCTAACAGTGGAATCCATGATGCTGCTCATGGCAGCTGAGACCCCAGAGCATACTATGGTTTTATTTTTTGCTTTCACTCTTATAGGATAATGGCCTGAGACAACCTCACGTGGCCTAGAAGACTTTTACATCCACTCTGTCCAAAGAGCCCTGGGAAAGGACTACTCTCAGCAATGGCAGAGCAGCCTGACAAATCACATACCCCTTGACTGGCCAGAGACACAGGTACCAGGACAAGAAGCCAGAGTCCCAGACAGGTTCTCCTGACCTTAGAGGATGTTGTGATGGACAAGTTCAGCCAAGAACAATGAAGAGCCCACTCAGCTGAACCCGGTGGACTCTTACCCATACCCTGCCAGAGCCCTCTGCCTTCAGGACAGGGACCCAAGCCTGCATTGTGGTGGCAGGTGTGAGTCATGAGCCATACCTGCTCAGGCTTGATGGGCTCCGTGGTAGTGAAGATGTCTGAGTAGTGCTGTCTCTCAAACACTCGGTCTAGCACTTCCAGCTGCTGCTGCGTGAACAGGTCTCCTCGCATCTGCTTCCGGAGAAAATCTCTGCCTGGAAGTGAGTGACCATTCGGCACTGGAGACTCCTGAATACCTTTGATGAGCATGAGAGAAGAAAGGTGAGTGAAAGTTGGACAAGATGCTAGAGACTGATAGGTCAGAGAGTGAGCCTAGGAAGAGGGCCCAAGAGACCCTCAAACCTAGCTCTTTCCTTGACCAGAGGAAACAGCAGAAGTTCCAGGAAGAGGCTGCCTGGGGTCATCTGCTAATGATTGCAGAGCCAGCCTTCCATAGCCGCATGCCAGTCATTGTGCCAAGCCCTTTCTATGCATCACCTCATATAATTCTCACAGTGACCCTCCCCGCCCCCACCCAGTGTATGTGTGATGGTTTGAACATAGTTTAAATTTCTTCTCCAAGGGTTCACATGTTAGAAGCTGGGTCCTCAGTGTGGCAGTAGAGAGATGGTGGATATTTAAGAGGCAGGGCCTACTAGAAGATCACAAGATTGTCCCCTCCCTTCTCTCTGGCTTCCTGTCTGGGGATGTGGTCTCTTCTTCTTGAGCAAGTGCTCCTGCCAGTCATGTTATATATACTGTGCTGGCTGTATCCTTGCCTATTTTTCATCTAACAATGTATAGTAAAGATTTTTCTATACTAATCCAGAGGAAGACCTCATTCTTTTTGCAGCTGCATTCATGGGATTCCATTGTGCACAAATCTCAGAGCTTATTTAATGAATCCTCTATACATAGACTCAGGTTGTTTCTGGCCTTTTGCTCCAGAAACATAGTTGAGCATCTATGGTGCCATCATGGGTCCTTCACCAGAGCTAAACCCAAGCCAGCACCATACCTCTGAATACCCATAAGTATGGGCTACATAAACCTCTTTTCTTTATAAAGTTACCTACTCAGTTATTCCATTAGTATAATAACTAACTGATAACAGTATGTTATTATTTTTCCACTTTACAGATGAGAAAATAGAGATGTGGTGACATTAAATGATCATTAGTCCTAGATGATCAGTGCTCAGGTTGACCTAGAGACTTAGTCCCCAGGTGCTGCTCCCCTTCCTGTACCTAAGAGCCTCCTGAGAGGCACAGTTTTTCCTAGAGCTGATGTCCTCGCCCTGGACATTGGCTACCACATCATATGGCAAGTCAATAAAATACTGTGCTGGGAAGGATGTATGGAAACAGACACTCATATAATTCTGGTGGAAGTGGCCACACACCTGTGCTGGCTAATTTGACAAAAGCTACCAAAGTGTGCATTCCCTTTGATGGCTGGAGGCATTTCTGGGAATTTACTGTGCAGCTACCCTTACACATGGAAAGTGATACATGTCTAAGATGCTTGGAGCAAAAGGCCAGAAACAACCTGGGTCTATGTATAGAGGATTCATTAAATAAGCTCTGGGATTTGTGCACAATGGAATCCCATGAATGCAGCTGCAAAAAGAATGAGGTCTTCCTCTGGATTAGTATAGAAAAATCTTTACTATACATTGTTAGATGAAAAATAGGCAAGGATACAGCCAGCACAGTATATATAACGTACAATGTTTTGTGTAAAAAGGGGCAAAAATAAGACTTTAATATACTTACAAGAATACATATCAAGTCTGATTCATCTATTATATAACATTATCACATATACTATATTATATAGAGAGATGAATAAGAAACTGTTATGATGGACACTCATTTGGGGAGCGAGTAGACAGAGTTGAGGGCAACAGAGACTTTTCATACCATACTCTTTTTTTTTTTTCCGCCAAACCAGGGATTGAAAGCAGGCCCTTGCACTTGCCAGGCAACTCTTATTTTACTGAGCTATCTCCCCGGCCCCTATACCGTACTCTTTTGTTTCAACTCCTTAAACACATTACCAGTTCAGAAACTGAGAAAATACACATAGTCTGTGTCTCCTGTGGGGTGTGATATTCACACTGCCTCTAGTGGTGATACTTATTGTTTCAAAGAAAATATCAGGAATTGTCTATTAAAAAGCACCTGGGATGAAATACCTTTTCTGATTGTTGGGCTGGACCTTGCAAAATGAAAACAAACACAGAGGACAAATGTTCCCCTGCCAGAAAATGGGCTCAGGGTCCATCACCCCCCAGGGCTCTCAAGGGCCATGCAGCCCCACAGGGCTGAATAGGGGCCTGTGGAAACCCAGGCTCAGAACAGGGCACTGGCAAGGCTCAGCTGTTACACTGACAGGTGCCTTACACAGGCCCCATTAGGCCCCCTACCCCTGCCAGACACTGCTGCCCTGAATGTCATCTATACTGTTAAATCCCACCATGTGAGAAATGAAACCAAACCAGAGCATGAAATATTGGGCTATCATGTCCCTGAGACTCAGCTGTAAGCCAGTGTCCTGCATAGGGGTGACTTCGGTGCAGGTCTTGACATTGGGGTTTTTATATGAGCACTGCACTTTCAGAGCCCCATGGAAGCCAAAGAAGCTCAGAGCACCCAGTATCCTCTATGGGAAAGACCATCAGAGGCTTCTCACAATTCCTCTGAGAAAATAGATTACTATGTCAGCTGGACACAAGATTACCATAGGCTAGGCCACAGTGGAAGGATCAGACACCCCCTTGGACACAGGTGGGCCAATGTGGAAGCTGGTCTCTGAACCATGCTCTCAACATAAAGCCCACATCCCTCTCCTAGTAGCCTGTGACACTGGCCTTTTACAAGATAGGAACCTGCTCCTGTCTACAAGATATCGTCCCCAGAATCTCATGTTCCACTATGGCCCATCCTCATGGGGACCATTCCCACAAGGTCAACAAAACCAGCAGAATGTAGAGCTCTAGCTCAGGCTGTCCATCCAACAGTGCTCTTCTACTGAGGTCCTATGCATTTTTGTCCACACGTCCACATGTGCACCACTCACACACTCTCAGGTAGGCAGCTCAGCTTGCTTCTATTCAGCTATCGTTGTACCCATCATCCTAGTCCCAATCACACCTACAGAAGCTTGACTCTGGAGTCAGTCCCAGAGCTCCCAACAAGTTTCACTGTCCACTGCTGGATGGAGGTGCAGCACAAAGTAAAGGCACAGGGCACAGATGTATGCACAGAGGGTCTTGGAGACCTTCCCAAGGAAAACTACATGTACTATTGGTGCAGGCAGCCTTATTGGGACATGTGTCTTCTATAATATTCTAGGAAGAGGACTGACTACATTCTGCTTTGGTTTTCTGAAAGTCAGCCACAGCTTCTGTTATGATTTAGATCTTAAATGTCCCCCAAACATCTCATATGTTTGGATTACAGATGAATTCATTGATGGGTTCAATAGCTGGATGTGCTGTGGTGGTGTGGCCTGCTCAGGAAGAGACCACTGCTAGTGCAACCTGGAAGGCTGTATTCTCGCCCCCAGTCTCTGCTTTCTACCTCCACTTTCTGGCTGCTGTATAGTGAAGAGCTCTCCCCTGTCAGACAACCATGGACTGGATCCACCGAAACCGTGAGCCCGCAAAAGCTCTCCTTTAGGTTGCAGGTGGCAGGTATTATGTCTCTGTGGCAAAAAGCTGACTAATACAGCTCTATGGGAAAAGCCTTTAAAAACACCCAGGCAGCCTCAGTGATCAAACGCTCCAGCAGAGAACTGTAAAGTGAGAAGAGTTGCCTCTGCAGGTACTGGCCCTGGCCTTAGCCAATCTTGTTGCTCCTGCCCTCAGCCAGAAGGCCCACTTGTTTGCTTACTGGGAAGAAACGTGACACCCATCTCTTTGTAGAGAAAGATGATTCAAGTCTACTATTTCCTTAAGAAGGCTTTGGGTGCTCCTAAACGTATAATCATATATCCATCAACTTAACAATATTGATTAAATGTTTACTCTCTTCCAGGTTACATTTTTAAAAGATCTTTGAAATAAAATAGCATGGGCATGGTGGCACACATCTGTAATCCCAGTGACTTGAGGACTGAAACTTGATACCATCTTAAGCAACCTAGTGAGACCCTGTCTCAAAATAAAATAAAGAAGGACTTGAAAGGAACAGAAGGAGTGAGGGGGGTAGAAAGGATCTGAACCTTGCTGAGGTAATGTTGGGGAGCCATGGCAGGGGAATGAGGAAACAATCACCCTCCACATTCTTCCATCCCAGAGCCTGAATTACTAATCCTTTTAGGTCAGGGCATGCTTTCCAAACTGCTTCCAGGCTGCATCTGGTGGTGTAGACGAGGGGCTGGCAAAGACAGGGTTGTACATTTTGGGCTGTTTGGCATTGGAGTCAGCCTGTCAGCCACACGTGACCCAACATACCCATAAGGAACATAAACCATTCCTCACTGACGTGGACAGACACAGCCTGCAAGCATGCATGCCTCCTTTTCCAGATGTCTTCTTCCTGCCCCAGCTAGTTCTCTTTCCCCTGTTTTAGGGCTCTGACCACTTTCCCCCTGCCTTAGGAGCCAAGTGCCCCTGGGCCTTCATGCCCACTCCAGGCAACAAGCTATCTCCAAGAGAAAGACTGCCGGTAATTCAGCTCCATCTCAAGCACTGGTTTCCCACTGGTTCACGGAATAAATGAAGAAATTAGTAATACCTGTAATACACACTTTCCCACTGAGCATCTGGTCTGTAAATGTCAGAATCCCTTTACCTGACCTCACTCATTCACTCATTCATTCTTCTGTCAACCAAACATAGTGAGCACTCATGCTGGGCATACAGAAATAGATAAAACCTAGTGCAAAGTCTGTCCTTATGGAATTACGTTTTGTGGAGGAAACAAATATTAATCAAAAAATAATTCAGGAATCCTTTTATTATGTATTTAGTACAGGGTCTACAAGGTCTCATTACACAGATCAGACTCATAGTGATTCTCTCGTTTTCAGCCACCCAAGAACTGGGATTATAGGCACGTGCCACCAAGCCCAGTCTCAACTGCTATCTCAGCATACCTCCGGGACAGGGCTGGCCCAGCATGCTGAGGATGGAACCCCAGTCCCTGCGTCCATCCTAAGTGGGTGCTTTAATCTGCTGAACCATCTGGCTGGCCCTAGGAAAAATAATCAGACTCATACAGGTGTGGGTCATCAACCACAAGTACTCTTG